TTTAACCAAGTGGAATATTTTATGATTTTTCTTAGAATGGCCATCTGTCCTTTGACTTCTGGAAACCACACTTGCAGGAACACATCACCCTGTCTCTTGTTAGCTTTTGCTGCCAGTTACTCTCACCAGAATAAACAAAACTACCTACTTTTGGACTATGGCTATTTTAAAATCTACTCTGCTTTATCAAATCAATATCCCACATTTTAGATAATGTCTCAAAGGAGATTGTGTTAAAAGCATTATCCAGACTGCATATGTGCTGTTGCTTTTATCTATTCTAAGCATAAAGTTTGACAGAAAGCCCAAACTACCTGAACTCTTTAAGGAAACCATAATTGCATAACATAGAAAACTTAAATTCCTAGTAGAGATTTTACTCCCACCTTGAACTTAAATTTCAATGAATATATTCAAAGTTGACTTGAGAGGATAGGTTAAAAGACTTTAGACTTTCTTACTTTATATATATATATAAAGTGTGTGTGTGTGTGTGTGTGTGTGTGTGTGTGTGTATATATTTAAAGTAAACTTAAAGCTATCACCTGTTTCACCTTGCTTTTACCAAACATTTGATAAAAATTTCCTCATGATTATCTTGATAAAGTGGTGGGAAATGATCTAGATTATAGTCTTGGTAATAATAATCTAGATATGACCTAGATAATTTTGGTAATGCAATTTTATTAGGGGAATTTGCAATTGGCTGTACCATAATCAAAGAACATTTCTCTAGTGCAATACCTACTTGTCAGTTTTTGGACCTATTTTGTTTAGTAGTAACCAATAATTTAAATAAAACTACAGAAACAGAATTCTAAGTATCAGATGTGTAAATGACAAAGCCCACATTTTAACATTCTAGATAGCAGGCTCAAGATTCAAAATTATCTCAGCAAGATCAATCAGTGCCCTCCCACAGGGATGTCCGCGGGAGCAGGAGCAGTTGGACATTCCCCCAAGGGCTCCCAGACTGCCCGGCACCTCTAGTTTACAAGAGTTATGCTTCATTTCTGGTTTTAACCAGTCATGAGTTCCCAGAAATCTGCAAATAATGAAGGTTGGTCAGTGACTTTGATGCTACTTGGGAGAAACTAAGGGCTTGTTAAGGGGGGAGGGTGGGAGCAGTTATGAAAAGCAAACACAGAGAAGAAAACTTTAGGAAAGTAAACAGAAAAAAAAATGTATTATTTCCCCTCTTCTCTCATTTGAAACAGCACTCTCAATCACCAGAATCTAAAACTCATTCCAGAATGCAACTTTCTGGACTGGATTTATTTCTGCAGCATTTCATGACAAATGAACTAGCATTTGACTATCAACCTAAAACATGTTAACACACATAAAATCGACACTTTTTATCTCAAGTTGCCATTTCAGAAATTGTGAATACTACAGCCAAGAGAAAAAAATCCTTTTGGCATTAGCTCAGTGCTCAATTTAACAGGAAATTATACCAAGATAAACTTCAATAAAAAAGCCACAGTCCAAGCCATATGCTTCAGGAATTTTACATCCCATACTGAAAATTACTGAAAACCAAGATTTCCTCACTGGTCTGCATAGTCTATTGGGCGGAACAAAACTCAAATGAGCAGCTGTGTTGAAAAAACTGCTTCTGGTCCTAGTCAGTTTGGCTCAGTGGATAGAACATAGGCCTGTGGATTGAAGGGTCTCAGATTCAATTCCAGCACATGCCAGGGTTGCAGACTCAATCCCCAGTAGGGGGGTGTGCAGGGCACAGCCAAATCATCATTCTCCCCCTACCCCCACTACCTCACTACCTCAAAAAAATCAATGGAAAAAATATCCGTGGGTGAGGACTAGAAATTTTTTTTAAATATCAAGTATTTTAAAAACTTAGGTGATTTTAGTTGTCTATTAGTGTCATGGGGTAACTTTGCTAGCTGCAAATAATCTGATCAGAGCCAGGGATATTTACAAATCAAAATCTCTAATTGAACTAAGTCTTCTAGAATCACCACAGGAAAATCTAAACGCTGTCACTAAAACCCCAAGGTAATGTTGAAAAAGACCATATGCATTCTTAAGAAATCAGACTAAAAAAATAGCCAAGACTGGGTTCAAGGTTAGGTCAAAATAAATTGTCACCACCAGACTAGGTCCTTGATCCAGATAGTGGAGTTCTTAATGCACCTGAGATTTGGGAGGTAAATTATGGAAGATTAGGGCATAAATTGTTATTTTACAGTGATCAAAATCCAGTTATTTCACATAACTGGGCTTAAGAAGTTAAAAAAGCTCTAGCATGTTTGGCTTGCGGGGGGGGGGGGAGGGGGGGGTGTCCCAGGTTCAATTCCGATAAAGGGCACATGCCTAGATTTCAGGCTCAATCCATGCAGAAGGCAACCAATGGTTCTCTCATCATTGATGTTTCTCTCTCCCACTTCCTTCCTCTTTGAAATCAATATTTTTTTAGAAATGTTAAGATGTTTTATTTTTTTATTGATTTTGTACAGAGAGGGAGAGAGATAAGAGAGCTAGAAACATCGATGAAAGTCATTGATCAGCTACCTCTTGCACACCCCCTACTGGGGATATGCCCTCAACCAAGGTACATGCCCTTGACCGGAATTGAACCCGGGTCCCGTCCCTTCAGTCCCCAAGCAGACGCTCTATCCATTGAGCCAAACCGGTTCTGTAAGAAATGTTAAAATGTTTTAAAGGCAGTATGTTTAACACCTGAAAAACACCAGAATTCTCGGGAACAAATTTCAACAGCATTTTGAGGTCTTTACATTGATGAAAACACAAGGAAATGCCATAAGTGTAGAACCTCAGAGCAAAAATAACTGTTCATGAATGTAAAACTAGTTTGTAGTGACCAGCAGGTGGTGCTCAAAACCAGGAAATAGTCTTGGCAAGCCTACAGTGGGTTCTGTGGAAAGGAAGCTAGCAACTAAACTTTTCCTTGACTCTGGTCACCCTCCTTCCTACCCTTTCAAATAGTAATCTTTTCTCTGCAGTTAAAACATTGCTGGGGGAGGCTGGAACAATCTTATTTTAGATCCTGCAGCTGTGTCAAATTTGCTTGTATCAGCTACCACTTAAATTGGACAATTTTCCTCACCTGTACAAATAAATTACAAATAACTTAAGGGGGCTACTTCCCTCAAGGAACTATAAGTCTTTTAGCCTTTTCATATGCCTCAAATGTCTCAGCAAATACTATCAAGGTCTACCTATTGTTAGAAATGTTATTTCAGAGAGGAGGGAGAAATATCAATGATAATCATTGCCTCCTCCCAGCCCCTCCCTATTGGGGAAGTGAGCAACCTGCAAAACCTGGGACAGAGACAAACCAGCTAGGGCAAGGCTTGTCTTGAGTGGGAGGTCAATGGGGGAAGGGGAGGAAATATAAAACTTGAACAAAGGTTAAAAACTTCACAAATTCCTAACAGGATACAATTAAGAACATACAAGTCTAATTTTGCCATTTTAAGCTGGATACTATTACACAGAATTAAGTTTCCAGATTCATGGAATTACTTTTCTACGTGTTTTGATTTACAAATGATCAGAAACTAACCAGACCAGCGTGGTTCAGGTCATGGGTTTCATTCCCAGACAGGTAACATGCCTGAGTGGGAACCAATGATTCTCATCATTGAGGTTTTTCTCCCTTCTCTGAAAATTAGTTTTTACTTTTAAATATATTTTATTGACTTTTTTACAGAGGGGGAGAGAGAGGAAGTTAGAAACATTGATGAGGATAGAATCAATTAGTTGCCTCTTGCACATACCATAGGGATGTGCCTGCAACCAAGGTACATGCCTTAACCGGAATCGAACCTGGGAACTTTCAGTCCGCAGGCTGATGCTATCCACTGAGCCAACCCGGTTTCTGAAATTAGTTTTTAAAAAACTAGATGGCTACCACTCAAACATATATCAACTTATTAACTATAAGCAATCACTGCAAGCAAATTACCTCAGCTAGTTTAAAAGTGCTTACATTCTGTCATTTTATAAACTAATTTCCAGTAAGGTTATCTTTTAGTGGCACTGGGCAAAATTTTCTGGTTTCAAATTAGAGCAATCTGCCACCATACCTCCTTAAACCGTTTCTCCAAGAAAATTCCTATTGGAAGTAGACTTTAAACAGCATTTAAGTGACAAAACACACTTAACTTCCAGCATCAATTTATTTTTCCTAGAATTTGGATACAGTAACTGCAAGACAGTGCTCAATACTATTCAAACCTCACTTAAGGTTCTTAGACTACCTCAACATTTGTAAATGTGAATTCACATTCCAGCAAAACTGGAAAACTAAAATTTGATATACCAACAAATTTACTCAATATTGATGGAACTACAAAATTTTAACACATGGCCTTTACAGAATTTGGCCTTCAGAAACTAGCTTACAAACACAAGGTTACTCTGCTTATCTGTCCTAACCTATTTAGTGTTACACCAACAGACCCTCCCCCCCATTTCCCATAGCTTTTATCATGAAGAGATGGGTGATTCAGTGGGAGGGGAAAAGGGGGAATCCCCACAAAAAAACCCTTAAGTTCCCTCCCACCCAGTAAAGAAAAATATTAACAGAACTATCCAATTGTTAAGTTTTATCAGAAGATATAACACTGGAAATAGGTAAAAGGCTTCAGAATTGCCCATGACCTAAACTAAGTAGTATAACAGAAAATTACAGTGTTTACCAAAAGAACACACAGGTTTCTCATTAAACTGTTATTTTAATGGGTCTCAAAATTCTGTGACAGATTTTTGGTCATGTTGTTTCCATTAAAAAGTACTGATTTTAAAAACTAATAACTTAAAAACTGCCACACACACAAAAGAACCAAATGGTCCACAAAACATTCTCCTTTCCTTCTGAAGGTTTTACGATGCATTGTAATCATTAACCAGTCTTTTACTATTAAACTTAAATGGCCAATTGAGACAAACAGTTCTGAGACCGTTCTTCCACCACTGATTAAGACTGGGGTGGCAGCTGTTGGGAATAATATTCATTTAGCCTTCTGAGCTTTCTGGGCAGACTTGGTGACTTTGCCAGCTCCAGCTGCCTTCTTGTCCACTGCTTTGATGACACCCACAGCAACTGTCTGTCTCATGTCACGAACAGCGAAACGGCCTATTAAAACAAATTTCATATTATTACACAGTACACAAAACAAATAGTTTTTATCAAGTAAAATGTGTAATTGCTGTAAAATGCTCAATCTTACCCAGAGGAGGGTAGTCAGAGAAGCTCTCAACACACATGGGCTTGCCAGGAATCATATCAACGATGGCAGCATCACCAGATTTCAAGAACTTGGGGCCATCTTCCAGCTTTTTCCCAGAACGACGGTCAATCTTCTCCTTCAGCTCAGCAAATTTGCAAGCAATGTGGGCTGTGTGACAATCCAGCACAGGTGCATATCCAGCACTGATCTGGCCTGGGTGGTTCAGGATAATCACCTTGGAAAAAGGATTTGAATTTATTTCCTGAATCTCAAGACATTTCAGGCTTTGGGAGGAAGAACATGACATTTAGCCTTACCTGAGCTGTGAAACCAGCTGCTTCCATTGGTGGATCATTTTTGCTGTCACCAGCCACGTTGCCACGGCGAACATCTTTGACAGACACGTTCTTGACGTTGAAGCCCACATTGTCCCCAGGAAGAGCTTCACTCAAAGCTTCATGGTGCATTTCAACAGACTTTACTTCAGTTGTAACATTGACTGGAGCAAAGGTGACCACCATGCCGGGCTTGAGAACACCAGTCTCCACTCTGCCCACAGGGACAGTACCAATACCTAAAATGTTTAGGCATAGTTGTAAATGCTTGTGAAGAAATTATTGCCTCCCACATGTCATTCTGATATTAATGTTCAACTTACCACCAATTTTGTAGACATCCTGGAGGGGCAGGCGAAGGGGCTTGTCAGTTGGGCGAGTTGGTGGCAGGATGCAATCCAGAGCTTCAAGCAGTGTGGTTCCACTGGCATTGCCATCTTTACGGGTGACCTTCCATCCCTTGAACCAAGGCATCTGAAGAACACAAGATTATCAATTACTATTTCCTGTCTCCATACCTGGCCAGCCTCTTTGAAATGCTTTTTCCAACTGTCTTAAAACTCACATTAGCACTTGGCTCCAGCATGTTGTCACCATTCCAACCAGAAATTGGCACAAATGCTACTGTGTCAGGGTTGTAGCCAATTTTCTTAATGTAGGTGCTGACTTCTTTAACAATTTCCTCGTATCTTTTCTGGCTGTAGGGTGGCTCAGTGGAATCCATTTTGTTAACACCAACAATCAGCTGTTTCACACCCAGAGTGTAGGCCAGAAGGGCATGCTCACGGGTCTGTCCATTTTTGGAGATGCCTGCTTCAAATTCACCGACACCAGCAGCAACAATCAGGACAGCACAGTCGGCCTTTGAAAGAAAACAATACCATATACTAAATGAAAGTTATTTAAAAAAAGATGAGCCCAATGTAACAGACCCAGAGTTAATTTCCTAAGAATTACTAATTCTACAAACCTGAGAGGTTCCTGTAATCATGTTTTTGATGAAGTCTCTGTGCCCTGGGGCATCAATGATGGTCACATAATACTTGCTGGTCTCGAATTTCCACAGGGAGATATCAATGGTGATACCTCGCTCCCGTTCAGCTTTCAGTTTATCCAAGACCCAGGCATACTTGAAGGAGCCCTTCCCCATCTGTTTAAGAATTAAGAACAGTTACTTGGTAACTAAGACATGCTCAAATTCCAACTTGAAATTCCTTATTCCACTAGTTGGCATAAATGCTCAATTCCAGTTTACAACAGTTAAAATGCAGGCAGCTTTACCTTTATTCTCCGAACATGGTTAGAGCAAAGCGATTCCATGCATGTTAGCCCAAACCTAAACTCATAAGCCATGCAGAAGTATTTTTGGGGAAAAGTACCCATTAATGTGCTTGCGGGCAACTTCAGATTACCCAAGTTAATGTACCTACCTCAGCAGCCTCCTTCTCAAACTTCTCGATGGTTCTTTTGTCGATCCCACCACATTTGTAGATGAGATGGCCGGTAGTGGTAGACTTGCCGGAATCTACGTGTCCAATGACGACGATGTTGATGTGAGTCTTTTCCTTTCCCATCTTGGGTTTGAGTTAATGGTGGTTTTCACGACACCTACATTAGAGGGGGGAAAAAAAGAAACCCTTTTAAACCCGGTACCACAAGCTTCCCAATAAGCCAAGACCCAAAAATCAAAGGGCAAATTCCAAGGAGAATTAGAACCAACGCCAAGCTGGCCCAACTCCGGTCTCCACCCACCGAGTGGGGAAACTCCATGGCGCACGGCCCCTCCCCCGCCGGCCCGCCCGGCGCCACGGCCACGAGCGGAAGGCCAGTGCCGGGCCGGCGCGCGGTGCGGTCACAGGCAGCGGCGGCCGCGGCGGGAGGGCCCTTTCTTTCCTTTGTGCGGTGACCCACCCGCCCGCCGCCCGGGCCGCGTCCTCCATTTTGAGTCCCTGCCCGGCGCCGGGAGCGGCCATCTTTCCGCGCACGCAACTGGTGCGGGCGGGCGGGGTGGGTGCCGGGCGCACGCCGCGGGCTCCTCCTCGTCGCCCTCGGGGGCCGCTGCCCGCCGGCCATGTGCTCCGGGCGGGCCCCGCCGCCGGCCCCCGCGAACCCGACGGGCCTCCTCCCCCTCTCCCCCCAAAAAAACCCTGCGAGATCCCCACCCGCCTCGGCTCAACTCCCCCGACGGGAGGCGCCTTCTCTGGGAGCTGAGATGGCCGCGGCTTCAGGGCAGCAGGCCAGGCCGGGCCGGAGGCCGAGCGGGGCTCGCACGCGGCGGGGCACGGCGCGCCGGCCAGGCCCCAACGCCAGCACGAGGCCTCGGGGCGCCCCTGGGAAAAAAGCGCAGGCCTCGAGCCCCCCCCACACCCCCTTACGGCCCGAAATTCGGGGCGCAGGACCGCGCACAGGGGCGCCGCGGCACGGCGGGGGGGACGGGCACGCGAGGCCGCGGCCGGGTCCCGGAGGGAGGCCCGGCCCGCGGAGGCCACGCCCGGCACTCACCTGTGTTCTGGCGGCAAACCCGTTGCGAAAAAGAACGTCCGGCAGGACTACGGCACTTATATACGGCTCTGCCCCCACCCTCGGGGAACGGGGCGGGGCCAGCATACGACAGACTTTCCCAGCTCGCCCCGCGCCAGCGCCGCCCCTTCCCCCCGCCCGCCCGCCGTCCGGGGACCGTGGCCGAGGTGCGCGCGCCCACTCAAGAGCACACGTCGCCTCGCGCATGCTCCTCCCGGCCCCGGGGAAGGCCAGCGCGAGGGGCGAGGGGCGGGGCCGCGCAGTGCCCGGATTCTAGGTTGGTGGGAGTTTGCCGATGGTCCCTGGGACGTGCCGCGGCCCAGGCGAGTCCCCCCCCCCCCCCCCCCGCCCTTTTGTATGAATTACTCCCGGCAGCGGCTGGGGGATGGGACGGCGCGGCGGGGACGCTCGGCATCTCCCCTCTGCCGTTCCTGGGCCACCTGCAACCATGTGGTCTCGAGATGGGGGCATCCCTTCGCCCCGCGAGACGCCCGCCGTGCTCACCTTGGTCTTCCCGCAGGTCGGGGCCGGGGCCACCGCGGGGGCGGCTTCCTCCGCGGGTCGCACAGCCCCACGCGGTGGCTCCTCCCCCGCCGGCGCCCCTCCCAGCCGGGAGCCCCGCGCGCCGCTCTGGGGGGACCGTGAGCAGCCGGCTCCGTGGGCGCCGGCCCCGCGGATATGCTCTCGGGAGCGGGGGGCGGGGAGAGCATTTCCCTTGTTCCCGTCCAAGCCCGTGTCACACGTTCGCCCCACAGCCGTTTTTCCGTGCAGAATCGACTTGAATCTTAACAGTTTGCCCCGCTTCTACCTCTTAAGTTTTAATACACTAAAGGGACCCCGATGGTGTGTCATCCTCGTGGTACATTTTTCCTCAGTTAGTGTACACTCATTGGGTTGCACGCGTGAGCAACCCAACAGGAATGCTCCCGTTCAGCCTTCCCACATGACCTCATGAGGAGCCGGCATCGGCGGGGGGACCCACCCCGCGTGCACTCACTGCTTCCCAAAACCCGCCTGGATGGGGCCTTTTTGGTCGCCGATGGGGCAGACTCAGAAATAGTCCTCGGAGGAAAGCACCTTTTTTTTAAACTAATCACGCGATCATTGAGATGTCTCCGTCCATGTGTAGGACATCTGTGCAGCATCTCCAGCCAGTCCATTGACTAATGTTGGAGAACCTGCCGTGTCCGGCGCTGTGGCATGTGCAAAAGAAGTGCTTTGCTGGAGAGGATCCACAATCAAGTTGGAAGAGCAAAGCTAATGGGGAAGCAGCTAAAAGCAACCGGGTGCTTCCTTTCTGTTTTATTGTAGGACCTAGTTCCAGTCTGTTCCCCGTGACTTCTCGCCATCAGAGGCCTCCCCATCCCCCCTTTTAAGGAAAGGAGTGCTGTGGAATAGCCTGCCTTAGGTGTTCTTGTTTTACCCCTCTTTGTAGACACAAACTTCTGAAAATCAGGTTTTTCTCTTTCTGAAGAGGCTTTTAGCCTTCTGTTTAACTTGGAGATAGTTTTCATGCGAGACACTAGGCCATGTAAGCGTTTCCCTAGATCCATACATCTTTTTCTAGCCACAAGCACCTTTTCTCAGTATCTTATTTCCTAGCGACCGTCGCAAATTCTTTTCTTCCTCCTTGCCTTTTCCTAGCAACCTGGGCACCCCTGCGCGGGCGCCCGTGTTCGCGTCGCGGTGCGGGCCAGAGTGGGGCCAGGGGAGGGGATCGGGGACCGGAGCCATAGGAGGAGGTTAGACTCCGGCCACGGCCGCTGCCGCCGGGCGGTGCTCACACTCCCGGGCTCCAGGGAGCCGCGGCGGGACGGGCACGGGGTCCCGGGCAGCTCCGGGCTCCGAGCAGGCGGGCGGCCCTCCCCTCGCTCCCGCTCCCCGCACCGCGCGGTCCCCGCTTCCCGGGCGCTCGGACACGCGTGGGCGGGCCAGGACCTGCGCCGTGGAGCCCGGCACTGGGGCCCCGCCGGCTGCGATGGCCAGGAGCCCGGCCACCCCGACCCGCCCCCGGGCACGCCCCCGCCTTGAGGTCACTTTCCGTGGAGCTCCGAGTGCGGAAGGAAGCGCCCGGAGGAGGCTGAGCCCCACGTGGCCCAGGGTGCGGGGCGGTTTTCCTCTGTTTGGCTTGGACTCAAAGACTGGAGCAAATATAGTTGTTTTTTTTTTTTTTAAAGCTCTTTTCCCCTGACCCTATGTTTTGCACATAATCGTAATCCATAATCCTTCCCCCCCCTACGACTTTAGAGCAGATACAGTATGCCTTCTAGATGTTAACAGTAATATTGTTGAGACTTGTGAAATGTCCTTTTGGGTCAAAACCTAAGGTCGAATTTTGCTTAAGATTTTTTTCTTAAAGTTGCTCATTCTATTTAGAATAGCAAACTGTTCAAATATATTGTAGGGAAACATGCAAAACCCTATATTTTTTTTTTAGTATTTTAATTATTAATTTACTTAGTAAGAAGGTAAACACTACTAGTTCTTTGATATCTGTAATTGTGATTCACCAAGTATCTTTCAGTATTGGCTAATTACTCTATTGGACCTAATTTATTTTATTTTTTTTAAATATATTTTATTGATTTTTTTTACAGAGAGGAAGGGAGAGAGAGCTAGAAACGTCGATGAGAGAGAAACATCAACCAGCTGCCTCTTGCACACCTCACACCAGGGATGCGCCTGCAACCAATGTACATGCCCTTGACCGGAATCGAACCTGGGACCCTTCAGTACGCAGACTGTCGCTCTACCACCGAGCCAAACCGGTTTCGGCAATTTATTTTATTTTTATTTTAATAAATCTTTATTGTTCAGATTATTACAATTGTTTCTCCTTTTTACTCCCATAGCTCCCTTCCACCCGGTTTCCACCCCATCCTATTGCGCTTAATTTAAAGCAGCTTTAAGTAATTACATTTTGCTGTGGTTTGCCACGTTTTCATCTTGCCTGTGCCAGTTAAAAATTATTTTTTAAGCCCAGCCCTTGTAACTCAGTAGTCAACGTTTGAACCAGGATGTCAAGGTTTGATTCCCGGTCAGGGCACAAGCCTGGGTTCCGGGCTCCATCCCCCAGTGTGGAGCGTGTGGGGGAGAACCCATCAATGATTCTCTCTCATTGATGTTTCTATCTCTTCCTCTCCCTTCCTCTCTGAAATCAATTAAAAAATATTTCTAAAGTGATTTTTAAAGGCTATTTTAGAATATGATTAAGCCAAGGAATATTTGGCTTGAGAATCCAAGTAAAATGGAACTTCATTCAGTGTGCCAGGCTCCGGTCTAACATTTGCCGTATTTAATGGAACCCCACCACTCTTATTTTGCAGAAGGAGGGACTTGTAAAGCAACGGATAGCTTATGTATAATAAGCAAACGCAGACATAGTACTATTTTTTAAAGTTTCACTTTTTTTTTTTTTTTTTGCACAAAATGGCAAAATACAATATATTACCTTGCTTTTTTCACTTAATACTTCTTGGAGATCTTTTCTTGTGAGTACATGAGGCCCTAGCAGAGCAGCTTTAGAACCCAGGGATCTGACCAGAGAGCTAGTCCTAACTTTTTCTAGCAGGTCTAAGTAGTAGTATTGAAGTCAGGAAATCAGGCATTCAGTTCTGCTTACAGAGCTGTGGTAGCCAGTAGTTCTTGGTTTCTCAGTGCATCTGTAACAGGACTGCTCATGACTAAACCTCAGTACCTACTTCACAATTCTAATGTCATGCAATGACATAAAATCACATGGGGGCACTCAATTATCTAGTTAAAATTGTGTTTCCATAAGCTTTTTTGGACACCTGCTCTCAATTGATTTGCCTTGTGCCATTAACTTGAGAGTAGAGAAAATAAACTCATTGGTATTTTTTCATTTCTAAACTAGAGGCCTGGTGCATAAATTTGTGCACGGGTGAGGTTGGCTGGGCAGGCCGTGGGACGGTTGGTGGGCAGGTTCTGCTTCCGACCACCTCCCACTCCAATTGGGGGCAGGGCCATGGGCAGTTCACCAGATCCCCCACCCTGGTTGAACTCCAGGTCAAACTCCTGGTCGAGGGAATAA